AACTCGGGTGCTGGAGAGGTGAGTAAGGACTTGCTTTTTACCTAACATCTACACTGCACTTTCATCAGTAAAACTTTTGTCGTTCAAGGGTGTGAAAAAAACACCTCCCTGAACAACAAAAGTTGATGAAAGTGCTGGTGTGAACAGCGCTTTGTCGGCGGGAGAGCTCTCCCCTGACAAAGCTACCGTCTCTCATTGGGGGTGGAATTTTTTTGTCGGTGGAAGAACTCTCTCCTGCTGACATAGAGTGACTACACTGCACACCTTTTAGTGGCACAGCTGTGTCGCTAAAAGGTGCACAGTGCAGGCATAGCTTTATTTTGGCAGCCATGAGGCTACCAGACTTTTTTTTTTTTAAAGACAGCTTAAGTTCTGGAGAATCTGAATACGTAACGCAGGCCACATGAATACATCACCCAGGCCATACGGTTGACACCCCTAATTTATACCAAATGTACACTGGAGGACCTGTACACTCTTCACAAGTACAACTCAATTCAAAGAATGGAGTCCAATTCAGAGTCCTGTGGTAGTGGTCAGCCAGGGGGCAGTGATAGGAGGCACCTGAACAGAGAGGGAGCTGAGACTTAACCTGAGGCGTTGGAGGGAGGGGCTCAGGACTCAGTTCTGCAGCACTACTGGGGAGTGGAGGCAGCAGGGGTGTAGGCTGGAGCCCAGGAGCATTTTGGGGGAGGGGTGGCTAGAGGGTCCGGGCCCGGGAGTTAGATGTGGAGCAATCTGTGGGTCAGGCTCAGGGAGGCACGACAGAGACTGAGGGCAGGGGACCAGGGAGCGTAGCCGTGCGGGGGCTGGGCAGGAAGGGGTCGCAGCGGTGAGGTGGGGCCGTAGGCTGGGGCACTAGGCTGGGGCGTGGGAGCGCCGCGCTGGAATCTGGGCTCGGCCCTAATCTCCGCGCCTCAGCGGCGCTGTGTACCGGCCCCGCGCAGCCGGGCGGGGGCCAAGCTGCGGCGCCCGGGCACCCCGCCGCAGTTAAAGGGGAAGAGGCTGGCGCAGGCGCCTGAGCGCTTACAGACAGGGGGCAAGGGAGGGGACTCAGCGGAAACGCCCTCCCTGACTGCGTCATGCCCTGCGTGCGCATCAGCAGCCCCTCCCCCTTAAAGGGCCAGGCCCACCTTTCCCACTGTGCACGAGCCCCGTGAGCCAGCCGGGCGCCCGTGGAACTATCGGAGCGTTCAAGCCCAGGTGCAGGAAGTGACGTAGGGCCGGGGTGGCGCTTCCGGGGGGCGTAACGCGGAAGTGGTTTGGGGTGGGGGGAGCGAGGTGTCGGTAGAGGCTGCGCGGCGGGAGGGAGGAGCCCGTGCTGGAGCGCCCCCCTGCGTTGGGGCTGTGAGGAGCGGGTGGCCGTAGCCTGTCCCGGCCCCTCGCCATGAACATAGACGTGGAGTTCCACATCCGCCACAACTACCCCTGGGCCCGCCTGCCTGCCAGCGTCCGACAGGTACCGGCATGGCGGGGGAGGGGCAGCCGGGCCAGTACCAACCCCCTCCCGCCAGCGCCCCACCGGGCCGGGGGAGGGGCGGCTGGGTGGGTACCAACCCCCCTCTTGCCAGCATCTGACCGGTACCGGGGTGGGCAGGGCGGCCGGGCCGGTACCAGCTCCCCTCCCGCCAGCGTTAGACAAGTACTGGTACCATCCCCCTCCCGCCAGCGTCTGACCGACGTCGGGCTGGGGGGAGGGGTAGCTGTACCAAAGCCCCTCCCCTAGCATCAGCCCATGGCCGGACACCAGCCTCCCTGTGCCCACGGTGTTGGACAGGTGCCATGGACAGCGCGGATCCCTCCCCTGCTAGTGCTACACAGCGACTGGCACGGCGGGGAGAGGCGGGGATCGTCAGCCACCCGCTGGGCTGCCGGTGTCAGCTAGAGCCTAGTGACAGGAGAGGTGAAAGCATCGTCCTGCCTCCCAGTGCCAGGCGGGGCTTCTGGGGCAACACCATTGCTTTCTCTCGGGTCTCAGCTGCCCCTTCCAGTGACTCTGCCTTCCCATTATCAGGCCCTCTCGCTACACCTGCAACTGGGGGGCGTACCTACCTCCGTGCTCCACCTATCTTCATCTTCCCCATGAAGGGGACTCCTTGTGCCCCAATCACCTTCTTTTGCTCCTTCATCTCTCGTATTGGTATCTATCCTTTGTCGCTTGTGCCATCTTACAGAATCAACACATCCTCTCTTCTTCATCACCTTCAGGTCCTTGGCAAAGGGTAATTGGGCCCCCCACCCTTCTGGGACTATGGATCTCATCTGCCTCCTGTCTTGACATTGGGGAGTTGGGATTTATCAGATAGACTCCAGAGCATCATGGGGGAAAAATGGTGCTATTTAAGCATGTGGCCTCAGTGGTGTAAGAGTGTGTTTCTAAAACATCTCAGTTTTCAGTAAGTGAACTGAGAGAGAGAGACTGTCCTGTCTCCGTCCCTCCCTGTGTGGTGCTTGATCACTAGGTGCTCCTGGAAAGCACAGGTGGTTCTGACACCTGTTAGGTTGAGATGAAACAGTCATAACATGGAAGTATGGTTCATAGTGAAGCTTTAAACGACTAGGGATTATTTTCTGGGGAAGTTAAGATCCAGGGGAGGACTCCCCAGTCAACACTGTACAGTGTACACTAAACCAGGAGAGGTTTCAAGAATTAAGGATTATGCTGCTCTAGTTTTCAGCAATAAGGGAAATGTCACAATAAGCGTTAATGAAAATGGAAACCCCATGAAATTTTGATGTGTGCCACGTTTAATGGGCTTCTGACAGCCCAAATGATACATTGTTTAAAGTCAAGAAGGAAAGTCTCTTTTCATCTTAGGAGTCTTATGCTACTTCAAAGCAGAAACTGAAAAATAATTCCTTCTCTTACACAGGAGAAAGAGAGAAAAGGTGTTGGAAGAAAGATGAACATTGACTGTAAATCCTGGTATATGAATTATTGAGCTCCTTAGTGAGACTTCAAGAGCTAGTTTGTAGCAGGAACATAAGTGATTTTATTTCTCTTTACCTGTAAACCTGAAAATGCACTGCTAATGCTTATGTAAATCAGCCTAAAATAGTCTCAAGTTAATTTAAGTCTTGCTACTAGATAAAACATCAGTTAAACGTAACTTCTGCAATGCTTTCGGAAGAACACTTTAAAAAAAAAAAAAAAAAAAGGGAAGTTTGAGTAAAAGTATCTTTTCCTGTTAGTGAGAGTGGCAGTAGTTACACATTCTCTTCTATCTGGACATCTAACAGTATGTGGAAACTGTCTGCAACATAATCCATTTCTTTTCCAGCAGCTGATGCTTTGAAGCTCAGTGTGAATTTACTTGCTTTAAGGTTGGATCTGTGCACACCGTGCAATTATGTTACATTTTATCTAAGGATTTCAAAGTGTTATATAAGACTTAAAAACAAGGAGGATTCCGGTGGCACCAAAGTGGGCTTTTTACCCATGAAAGCGTATGCCCAAATAAATCTGTTAGTCTTTAAAGTGCCACCAGACTCCTCATTGCTTTTGTGGATACAGACTAACATGGCTACCCCTCTGATATAAGGCTTAAGACTCTAAGTGCCACTGCAAGGTATTACCTGCTAATGAAATTTTACTGCTGCACAGCTAAACTGTAGAAGAAAAATAATTGAAGGGTCTCCAGGGCAAACATGTTTTATGCTTGGCCTCAAGTAGTTGAAACATGTTTTTGAAATGACAGTTTATACCGTACTATATCCTCTCTTGAAATGGTTACTTACTGTTGGACTTCACAAAATATTCAGTGAATGAATATTTGAAAGTGAAATTGATTTGAAATTAACAACACCAGATAAAATTTCTGGTGCCAAACATATTGAGAAGTGTGTGATATTAGTACCAGGTATATTCTGTTCATGCATTAAAATTGTTTGATTAGCTCTGTCAGTTCATGATAATAGCCTTTGAAGACTAGTAAATATACTGTCCCGCAGAAGTAGTGACTGGCCATTATTCTTTCCCTTGAGCTTCAAGTTGTTATACTTAAGGCTATTCCTCAGATTGTTCAGTTCTGTTAAGGATTATGTAGTTCAGTCTTCAGCAAGACCAGTTATACAACTATAGTGGATGAAGAATTAACTCTTATTCTTACAGAAAATGGGCTTGAACTGAATAACTTTTCCTAAAATGTAATGTCTGTTGACCTTCTGTAACAGTAGTAAAAGCCTCAAATAATTTTTACCTGTTTTATTTTTTCTTTTATAAAACTTTTTCTTCTAGTAAAATTATAGATGAAAGTATCTGAAAATATGCTCACTACAATGTTTTCGTTTTGTGCAGTATTCGGAAGGCAACAATACATCAGTTTAAACTTGGGTCACTTTTGGAAAATTATGTTCAATCATAAGGGCTAGAAACTTGGGTCCTGTTTTTTTGCAACTGTGTGTGTATGTACATATGCCGGTTGCCCATGCAGTGTCCCATTAAAGTCTTTGGTGTGCCAGACTTATAGATTGGATTGCAAGATTGGGACCTTCCTTCCTTCGTTAAACAAATTAAGCCTTAATTTTTTTTTATTAATTGGTGCTTTTGTCCTCCAGGCTTGTTAGGAAAAGTTTCTTGTTCACTAATGGCTAGTTGATTTCCCCCCTCCCCCCCCCATGCCCAGACTAGAGTCCGTATGAGATTTACTTCTGACATCAGGAGTTATTCAAGGAGCTCTATAATGCAGTCTGTAGCTCTTCTCCTTATTAAGTGCTTGCTTCTGTTCAGAGTTGCACTGGTTTAACTTAAGATGTGATTTTAAAAAATTTTCTTTAAAATCCAGTTTGCAGAGGGTTTTGGGGACACTTATTTTGATTTCACTTAAACCTGTTTCTAATAGCAGATTTAGGCTAAATCAAAACAAGCCACTGTGATAGGGCCACTCACCTTACGTGAGCGCCTCCTATCGGGTGTGCGTGTGCCTGCTCTCGCTCAGCTCTTGCGGTGTTCTCTGTCGGCAGCATCACTTTTCAGGTGGGTTTTCAGTGGCTCAACCCTCTGGCAGAGTCTCATACAGTCCGTGTGTGAAATAAAATAGACTTCTTGTGACATAAACAGTCCAGTGGGGCCTATCACAGTACCCTTGTTCGTCTTCTGCAGTCCTCCCTGGGCTAAAACCTTCATCAGTCCAAAAAGGCCTATCCCAGTACCCTGGTTGGTGTCCACAGCCACTCCAGGGCTAGATCTCAAATAGTTCCTTCTCTGGGATGGAGCAGTGCCCCCAGGCTTCCTCCCTGGAGACTCTTCATTCTGTAGCGAGCCTCAACCGACCCTAGCTCTCCAGCTGAGTTGCTTTTTCAGTTCAGTTCATCCCCCGTCTGGGGTATTAAAGTTCAATACATACTGATCCCTTTGGCGTCTTCAGCCCCTTCCCAGGGTGTATGTAAACTCCCTTCTCAAGACACTTAGTCACTTCCCCTCTGGCTGGTGCTGGGGGACCTGGGCCCACCCACTACACCAGGTCCCAACCCAGGGACCCTGCAAATAGCAGCCACCCACTGCATCCCTTTAACCTGTTGCTGCTACTGTTCCCTGGGCCACTTCCCCATGGTCCCAACATGTTCAGCTTCACCCTTACCTTGGGCTGAAGTCTTGCTTGAGTCCCAGCAGCCAGCCAGGAGCATCTTCCTTGCTCCCCGAGTCCGGCAACTGCTCTGTCCAGGTACTGGAACTGCTGCACCGAGCCGGGAGCACCATCCATGCTCTTCTGGCTCCAGCCAGCAACTGAATCTACTTAGGCCCGGCAGCTCCTTTCATATGAGGCTGCTAGGCTCTGGTTCCTTCCCTGCAGCCTCTCTATTCTAATTGACTGCTTCCCATGCAGTCCTTCTCTCAGCCTCTTGGAGGACTCACCTCTTCTGCTCTTTTTCTGGGGCAGGGTGTGGTAGGACTGTGAGGCCTCCAGCAGCGGGCCTTTGGGTTTAGTATACCTAGTCACAACCATTCTTAAATTCTAGTGTCTACTGGACTTTGGTATGGTTTAACTAAGGGCTTGTCTAAACACACAAATTTTACACCAGTTTAACTAAAGTGATGTTGAGCCAGCTGAGTTAAACTGGTGCAATTTTGGCCATGTCTTTACTAAGGAAAAAAGACATTGGCTAATTCGTTAAAATCCTAATGTAGACAAGGCAAGCTGTAGTTTTAACGTGTATTAGTTGGTCAAAGTGAAGCCTAAGAGGGAGCCAAGGGTATACTTTAACCAGCTAGCACATGTTAAAACTACAGCCTGGTCTACACTAGGCTTTTTACATATTAGCAAACATATGTGAAAAACACACCTCTTTTCTGAGTGTAAACCTTTGTGGACATTCTTACATTCAGGTTTAAACCAGGCTTACAAACTACATCTATACCCAAAGTTGCATTAGTTTAACTAAATCAGTTTTACATCACACTTTAGTAAACCCTATGCAACTTTGTATAGATATGGCCTAAGAAGTTAATCCTGCAAGGTTCTGACCTTTCTTCACTCAAGCGCTTAGCACTTAATGAGATGCTTGACACTTTGCATGATTGGGTGCTAATGAGTATATGTGGCCCATACAGACTTGTTTTCAGGATTTGATTCTTTCTTTTGATCAGTATAGTGGTGCAAGAACACTTAAGCTTGTTTGCACTTAAAACTTATATTGGCATATAGCTATTTCGGTCAGAGGTAAAACCACATCCCTGACTGACTTAGCTATGCCAGCAAAACTCCGAGTGTAGATGCAGCTGTGCTGACAGAAGAGGGCTTCTGGTGGCATAGATAATTTTGTTTGGGGAGGTAGTGTTCTTACATCAACAGAAAGTTTTTCTGCCAGTGTATGCTGGTTTGTAGTGGGGGCTATGCCAGCATAGGTTCTGTAGTGTAGACATAGCCTTAGAAAAGTACGGTTCAAAGGTACCCTGCATTAATTCAGTTAGATGGATAATCTTGACCTCCTATTACTACAATGACAGATGAGGAGAATTCAGTAGATGTAGTAGAATATACCTGTCTGTAGTACAAGTTACACTGATTTAATTAAAGGACTATACAATTCAACTACAATAACATTTATATTTTGTTTCATAGGGTCTTGGAAACTCTCAGAGGGAGTATGAAAAGCAGGTTGTACTCTATAGTATCCGCAATCAGCTACGATACCGAAATAACTTAGGTGAGTGTGGAAGGCTGATAACTTCAATTTGATAACTGACTCTACTTCTAAAGCCTTCGTTTGAGTGTACTGTCATCTTTAATAGCTTACAAAAGTATGTCACTGAAATTACTACAGACCTGTCAGAACCATCTCAATCCTCCAAATTTCCACCAAAAAAGACCCCAGCAAAACACCCTTTTAATGCTAGAACCCCAAAAGTCAATTAACTTTGAAATCCACTTAATTGCAGTGGCTTCTTTGTGGAATGCATCCTTCAGACTCTGCAGGTTTCCAAGTGAAGCTTACTGATAGCCGACTTAGTCTCCTGTGTGCCATCTGAGCCCTTCAAACAAGGTTAGGGCTTGTTAATGGAGGACTTAACTAATTTACAGCCATGATGTCAAAGGAAGTGTCCCTCTAGAAGGAGCCCGGACAGGTACAAAGAAGGAGGCCTGGGGTCCAAGCTGTTTGACATAGAATTCTCATTGGATTCACATCGGTTGTACTCACTTTCTCTTCTGCAGTGGACAGAGCTCTCACTGCTTGAAAAGGAGGTTTGCTGGTAACTCCAGGCGTTCTAAATCATGAACATGAGTGTATATTTCATTCTCCTTTCGTACCTGTTTATGCCAGAATGGCATGTCTCATTTAGAAATGAGACACATAATAAACCAAACAATAAGATTATTCTATCATTGCTGAAAATGCAGGATTGCTCCGTACAATATAGTCTTCAGTGCTATGTTCTAGTTAGCTTTAAATTACTCTCACTGGGTTTTCACTATTTCCTTGGGAAATTATTCAGTAGCTTAATAGCTAATCTTATCACGAGTAATCTTTCTGATTTCCAACCTGATCCTGAGAGACTCTGAGCACCTGTATCTCCTATAGAAGTTAATAGCAGATGTTGGTGTTCAACATCTTTGGATCAGCTCCCCCTTTTATTTCTTAAGTCAATTTCATACCATTTTACTACTAACCTTTTTTGTGTGTTGGCATGCAGTTTAAATGTAAAAATATAATCTCTGCACCATTTTGAGAGAACAGTGTAACAGAATATTAGCCTGACCTTTCTCCCTCCCCACCCCCAGTTAAGCATGTCAAGAAAGAAGAACGAAAATACTATGAGGAACTGTTAAAATACAGTAGAGATCATCTCATGCTCTACCCTTACCATTTGTCTGACATCATGGTAAAAGGCCTGAGGATAACACCATTTTCGTATTACACAGGAATAATGGAGGTGAGTTTGGGAACAGAATTAAAACAAAACATGTCATGCTCTGTACTTCTAGAAATGCTTTTTGTAGCATTGTAATGTCTGCCAGCCAGTCAAATGACTGTTACTGTTTGCTCTTGGAGAGACTGCTGCTGCTAATGAGCAGCATGAAGGAAAGCTTCTTCAGAATTGTGCTGATAATCACAACTCAGCCTACCCCCAAATGCCTCTCTGCAGAGCTAGGGATTGGCAACAGCAGTTGGATGGGAAATGGTTTTCCAGTCCTGAATCAATTGAAAACTCCGAATTTTTTGCAAACCGAAAATCCCCAAAATTTCAGATTGAATCAAAACATTTTATTTCAATTATGACCTTTTAAACTTTTTTTTACTACAAATTAACTTGCATTTCAAAACAGTCATGCTGACCTGAAAAAAAAATGGAACTTTTTCATTCTGAAAATGTCAAAACAGTCCATTTTGACAACTTTGAAACATCTAAAAAAATTGTTCAGAATGAGGAAAATTTGTCATAACTGACTCTCTCTTACAGTTTTGGTGAATTGGCATTTTTCATCAAAAAGTGCCCAACCAGCTCTGCTGGTAACATTCTGTCATTTCTCTTGGGTACAGTACACATAATATTTTTGTCATTTTTGTCAGTAAAAGATGCTTACAGTTTAATATAGAGTAAATTGATAATTGTTACTGTGATTACTATTAGCTACATTCATTAGTGCCTTTTTCTTCCCCTGTTTGGATGAACATCTCCAGTTTTACTACAGACTTTAATGGAGATTGACTTAGACCCTTAGTAATTTGCCTGTCAGGCTTTCTGGGGTTTTTATAATATAAGGGATCTGATTATCATTAATAGTAAGCATATAATTTTTGGTACAGTTCTTGCATCACTTTTACAGTAAGCCAGATCTCTCAAAAGTGTTAACTGATTTTAGCAGGCTAGATTTTCTTTGTCAAATTCTTATCTTCAATTTGAGGGGTAGATTTTTATATAGAAAATGTACACGTTATTTTAGGTTTTAAATGCTCATGGATATTAAAAAAAACACCCCTTTCTCAAATAGTGGACTACATTGGTCCAAAAATCTGTTTCTTGCTACAAATTAAGCTTTTTTTTTCTTTTCTGTTTGTTGCTTTTTAAAGGATATAATGAACAGTGAAAAAAGCTACGATTCATTGCCTAACTTTACTGCTGCTGACTGTAAGTAGTATCTGGCTGCATTCTTCTGTTTAGTGAGGTAGATAAATGCAGCTTCTGAAAACAGTTTGAAGGCTTCAGTTGCATCACAGCTTCTTTTTAAAGGTGTAGAACCTGTAAGTAGTAGTTTTGAAGTAGGGGTGTGTCTTCATGCAGAGTTATCCTGTGCAGTGTCCTCATTGGTACTGCATTCTTGTGTTAATAGGACTTATGGGGACATAATCCATGGTTCTTTGTGCTGCAGTAATCTGGGCTGCTCTGTGATTTTTCCCAGTGAATTGTGGGAGAACTTGTCTGTCCTTCTTTTGGGCACATGGTAAGTGAGAATTGTAGGAAGGCACTGCAGGAGTATCAGCACCCAAGTTAGCTTGTATCCTCACCATAGGCACCGACTTCCCCTCTGCCTGGTGGGTGCTTGACCCCCCAGGCCCCGCCCTTCACCGCCTCTTCCAGCCCCTGCATCACCCTCGCTCCACCCCCATTCCACCCCTTCCCCAAAGTCCCCATCTCACCCAGCCTTTTCCCACCCCAGCCATGCCCCCTTCCTGCCCCAATTCCACCACCTTCCCCCAAATCCCCACCCCGACCTGCCTCTTCTCCACCTCCTCCCTGAGCGCGTCCTCTCCCCCTCCCTCCCGGAAAGTCCTAAGTGCCACCAAACAGCTGTTAGTTGGGGGGGCGGGAAGTGCTGGGAGGGAGGGGGAGGAGTGGGGACGTGGCGCGCTTGGGGTGAGGGGAGAAGGAGGCGAGGAGGGGGAGCTTGGCTGCTGGTGGGTGTGGAGCACCCACTAATTTTTCCCTGTGCACCCATGGAGTCGGTGCCTATGATCCTCACTGTAAAGTCAGCCCAAGTGAAAGCGGAGCCCAAGCTCTAACCCATACCCCTAGTCTTGCCAGCTAGCCTGAGTTGAAAGCACTAAACTCAGGTGAGAGGTTTTGTGTGTGGATGGGAGAGGGGCTAAGGGCAACACCCGAGTAAGCATCAGACTTAACTCTGCAGTGAACACATACCCTAAGGGTCACATTATTAGGGAAGGGGAGTGAAATGAAGGGTGATCCTTGGCCCCTTTGGCAGACTAAGGAAAACCTTGGTGAACAAGACAATTGACGTGTTTTGGGTGCTAAAATCTAACTTGAGAAATTTCCGTACTAGCTTTCATTGCCTTCTTCCCTGTTGTACCTCTATACGTTTCCACTGTGGGTGGGTAGAGAGGGGAGAGTTCACAATTCGATAACACAGTAATAATGGGTGACTTCAACTAGCTCATTAACTGCACGTGTGTCACAAAGGGAGATAGTTGAGAGAAGCAGTTTTTCAGCACCACTGAATTGCTTGGAGTTCAAAAACAGAAGCGACTCCTGATTTAGTCTCAAACCAACAACTGTGTATTACTTGAGAAACAATTGTAGTTCAGCCACTAAGTGACTAATATGTGATAAAGTTAAACTTCTTCATTGGAGTTTTGTAACAAAAGCTAGCGCTGAGACGCTAAACTTTAGAAAGAGGGATTTAAGAAAAGTGAGAGACCATGGAGGTTACTTAAACATTGTATTTGAGGCCCAAAAGGTGTATAGTATGCACATACCTAAATAAAAAGGAAGCCGGAAAGCAAGAAAAATACCAAATATGGTTAAATTGTAAGGTACAAGAAACTATTTGGGTCCATTGGGTATCCATTTAAAAAAAGCCAAACTGGAAATCCAGCCCTAGCAAAGCCAGTAAATGAGAATATAATTATGGCAGGTAAAATATAAGATGGCAATTTTGAGGCCTGAGGGAATTTCAAAATCAAATCCAGCCTATATATGCACTTTAGATAAACGAGGGGAGAATGGAGAGGCACACTTGTATGCAGCAAGAGCAGAACATTGACTGGGGTACACCATGTAGCTGCTGAAATTAAAATATATTTCAAGAAACATATTTCAAGAAGCATAACATGTTTGAAAAAGCAAAATTTTTCAGGAAGTAAATTCTCAGTCACTACCTTCTTGGAATTATTTTTAATTTTTGTGTGTTAAATTTTTGTCGTCCTCTGACTAGACTTGTTTGTAACTGGGACAGGGGAACCCACACTTGAGAGTTAGGGCACTTTTTTGTGGTTGTGACACAGTTGGGGAGAACCCTGTCCTGTGTGCGGGGAATGTGCCTGCCTTGTTTAGGGGAAAAAGGGGAGGGGGGGGAACATACATCTCTTACCTCTACGTGCCTCCCAGCCCGAGTCCATACGCTTGCCCTTAGGAGGGCAGTACGGCCTAGTGGCTGGAGTCCATAAATTTGCCCTTGTCACTGGGCAGTAAGGCCCAGGGGTCAGTGTCCATCAATCCTCCCCTTTTCACAGGGCAGTAAGGCCCAGTGGCCCAAGTCAATAACTTTGCCCTTTTTTGCAGAGCAGTAAGGTCTAATGGCCAGAGTCAGGAAATCTGCCCCTTCTCGCAGGGCACTAAGGCCTAGTGGCCAATGTTGGATACAGGGGGAGGGTTTCATCTCCCCCAGCAGGGGTGTCCAGGCCCTCCCTCTACACCAGACTCCCGCCCAGCACCCTGGTAGTGGCCATAGTGCGGGCCACTGAGTCAGTGGAGAAAGGCTTCTACCGAAACACGCTGACTCAAGGCTTCAGCTCACTCACTGGTCTGCTGTTGGATTTCCCTGGGCTGCTTCCTGCCATTGTCCCTGCTGCTGTGGTCTGGGCTTCCCTATTACCTCTAGGTTCTCTGGTCTGCCCTTCCGCCCAACCCTGCAAGGCCTCCGGGGTTGCCTTGGCGTCCGCCTGGGCTGTGGCATCTCCAGCTCCTAAGGTCACAGGCGTCCGCTGAGCCTTGGCTGGAGCAGGCAGCATACATCCTTTCTCCATAGCAGTCAGCCCCAATTGAGCCGAGCTGCTCCCTTTCATACTGGTACACCTGGAGCATGCCCAGTAGGGTGAAGGAGGTGTGGCTTCCTCAGTCCACAATGGTAGGATTAACCCCTTTATAGTGGTCTTGTTAGACTTACTGGAAAATGTGGGTGGAGGAAATAGGATAAAGTCTTCCTGATTTCTGAGGGATAGATGACTGAAAATTATTCCTAACTGAACAGATAAATATGTAGTGGACATTTGGCTATGTAAGGATCTGCAGGAGGTAACAACTACAGCAATTTTCAGCAAGAGACACCAAACTTTTTTGTAAGTAATTATTCAGAAGAGACCCAGTATTGTAACCTTACTCATGGAAGTGATCACACTGAATTCATTGGTATAGTTTATATGGGTAAAGATCACTGGATTACGACCTTGTTCAATTAAAATGAACTATTTTTCTTGGAGGCCACTGTGACCTTTTGGCTCTGCTTCTTAGTGTCCAGCCTTATTAAATGTGTAGCCTGTTTAAAAATCCAGCTAACTCAGTAGTGTCTGGTATTGGCATAGTTATTACTACCAGCTGACTGAAGGTAAGGCTGAGGTGATGAAGATGTTGGACAGATCTTGGTGACTCTTTCCCCTATGTGCTGTGACTCTTGTGTCATAAAGAAAAAAAATTAGTTTATATTAGATTTTTCTTCTGACTATATTATAGTAAAATGACAGGGAATCATCATCAAGTGGGTGTGTTTCCAGTGGGGTCCCGCAGGGATTGGTTCTTGGTCCTATGCTATTTAACATATTTATCAATGACCTGGAAGAAAACACAAAATCATCACTGTTAAAGTTTGCAGATGACACAAAAACTGGGGGAATGGTAAATAATGAAGAGGACAGGTCACTGGTTCAGAGCGATCTGGATAGGCATACTGGCTGCAAGTAAACATTATGCGTTTTAATATGACTAAATGTACACAAAGAAGGTAGGCTGTACTTGCAGGATGTACTCTATCCTGGGAAGCAGTGACTCTGAAGAAGATTTGGGGGTCATGGTGGATAATCATGAACATGAGCTCCCAAGGTGATACTATGGCCAAAAGAGCTAATGTGATCCTGGGATGCATAAACAGGGGAATCTTGCGTAGGAGTAGAGAGATCATTTTACCTGTGTATTTGGCACTGGTGTGACATACTGTGTGGATACAGTATTCTAGCAGCCCACAATTAAAGAAGGATGTTGAAAAATTGGAGAGGGTTCAGAGAAGACCCACAAAAATGATTAAAGCATTAGGAAACATGCCTTATAGTGATAGATTCAAAGAGCTCAATTGATTTAGCTTAACAAAGAGAAAGTTAAGATTGATTTACAGTCTATACGTATCTATATTGGGAACAAATATTTAATAATCATCTCTTCAGTATATCAGAAACGAGTGTATATATAACATGATTCAGTGTCTGGAAGGTGAAGCTAGACAAATTCAGATTGGAAATAAGGTGTGAATTTTTGACAGTGGCCATTAATTAAACAATTTACCAAGGATCTTGGTGGATTCTCCATCAGTGACAATTTTAAAATCTAAGTTGGGTGATTTTTTAAAAAGATCTGTTCTAGGAATTATCTTGGGGAAGTTCAATGGCCTGTGTTTTGTGGGAGGTGAGACTAGATGATCACAATGGTCTCTTCTGACCTTGGAATCTATGAATTTAGTCTGGGCAAAAGAAATGAATGGGGCCAAATTCTGCTCTTGGGCAGAGATGTGGCTACCATCGAAGTTAGCAGGATCTATTTTTGGTGCCGTTTCTTTAGAAAAAAGAAGGAAGTATTGAAAACATTCTTGAGATACTTTTAAAAATGAGAATAATATGTTCTCACATCTGCAATTAAAAATAGACTTTTTTCCTAAGGAAAATCAAACATTTACTTTTCAGGTCTACGGCTTCTTGGTATAGGAAGAAACCAGTACATTGATCTAATGAACCAGTGTAGGTCATCAAAAGTAAGTTTTGTTTTTAATTTTCTTTCCATCTATTCTAAGTGTCGGTCCTGCTTCCCATGCCCGGCTCCATCTTGACAAAAATGTTCTAGGTGGGGATAGGATGCCATATGCCTCTTTAGTAAAATTATGATTAATCAAACAATAATGCACTAACATATGTATGTTTCTTCAAAGCTATTAAAATATCTTTGTTAATTGTGGTAAAAAGCAAAACAAAAAAAAATTAGAAAAATAAAATTTCTCCAGCTTTGTGTTATCTTATTACTACTTATACAGTGCTACATTTTGTCTAAGGCAGTGGTTCTCAAAGCTGGTCCTCCGCTTGTTTAGGGAAAGCCCCTGGCGGGCCGGGACGGTTTGTTTACCTACCACGTCCGCAGGTTTGGCCAATCGCGGCTCCCACTGGCCACGGTTTGCTGCTCCAGGACAATGGGTGCCGTCGGGAAGGGCGGCCAGCACATCCCTCAGCTTGTGCCGCTTCCTGCAGCCCCCATTGGCCTGGAGCGGCGAACTGGTCTAAGGCCATCTCTAGACAAAGACAAGGGGCTAAATTCTCCTTTGACTAGTATAAAGTTGAAGTAATTCCGTTGGTGTTGGTGGAGTTATTCCATATTTATACTGGTATAATTGAGAGCAGAATTTGCTCTGGTGTATGCCTCCAAAAGCTTATAATCAGAGTAGTTAACGTAAATTCTATTTAGTTTATATACTACTCATGTTGTTTGAGGTTGCAGTGTTGGGTCTGATCATGCAGCCCTTTTTTTTGTGTATGATCAGTTTCACTGACGACATCAAGATTAATCTCATTATTGATGTCTGCATGATCTAGCCCTTTTACAAGCTCAGTTTACAACAATAATTTCCTTTTTAAGAATGTAGTAAGTAATTCATAAGTGCTCTGTCTTCAGTTACAGCATTGCGCCTTTGGCCAAAGGATTGTGTATCCAAGTTAAAAGAGATTTAGTGTAGGCTGAGGGAAACAAAAAGGATAGGGGCCTGCGTTATAGAATGTAAGAGTAATCTTAACCATATCAATACAACAGTACCCTCTAGCTGTTCTTTCATGAACTGAAGTTTATAGTAGCTCGTAGCATGATGCTCATCTGGAACACAGTGTAATCGTTGTCTGTCGTTAGAAATAAACAGAATACGTGTTCTTATGATGCATTGCTTATTAATTTTGTAAAGTATTCTGCCTACAAAAACACTCCATTTGATATGTTGTATGCTATCCTGTATCTTTAGGCTCTGCTTTTTTGCTAATAAAATGCGAGTGTGCTTTTAATAGTTCAGGGCTGGACTTCATGCTAGCAGACTTGAGTACACACACAAATGGATTGTTTTCATTTTCCCATTTTTATTTGGTTTGGGGTGGAGAGAATGTATTTTTTTTTTTTAAACAAGTCCATATCCCTGTGTGCTATATACATGTGCATTCAGTGACCTTAGGGGATTAGGAATACAAATCAGCAGCTTTCCCATATCCCAAGGTATCCTGCAGTGTCTGTTTAATGCCTGAGTATGAAGTACTTGGAAAGTAAGCATTTACAAGTAGCTGTTTTTATGGTGTAAAGGAAACGGGTAACATCTCTATTTGTAATCAATAACATTTAACATGTACAATCTCAAATGGACTGTATCACTGCAGAAATTTTTCAGAAGGAAAACTGCTCGTGATCTGCTACCAGTAAAGCCGGTGGAGATTGCCGTAGAGGCCTGGTGGGTGGTGCAGGCTGGCTACATCACAGAGGATGACATAAAGGTATTGTGTGTTTAACCAAATTTAGACACTGCTAATTACTGAGAAAATGGGGGAAGATTACAAATCTGTACTGTTTATCTCTTAATGTAGTAGAACAGGGATCGGCAACCTTTGGCACAAGGCCCGCCAGGGAAAGCCTGCTTGTTTACCTGCAGCATCCGCAGGTTTGGCCGATCGCGGCTCCCACTGGCTGAGGTTCGCCGTCCCAGGCCAATGGTGGCTGGGGTAGGGCGGCCAGCACATCTCTCGGCCCGCGCCGCTTCCCGCAGCCCCCATTGGCCTGGAGTGGTGAACTGCGGCCAGTGGGAGCTGCGATCGGCTGAACCTGCAGACGCTGCAGGTAAACAAACCGGCCTGGGCCGCGTGCCAAAGGTTGCCGATCTCTGTAGTAGAATCTCTTATGGAAATAGTGGTAAGGGGTTTTTTTATTGGTATACTTTCTCTTTTTTCCTGTGAATTCTGACTTCTGGGTTATATGGTATTAGGAAACTTATTTCAGCATGACTGCGAAATACATTTTTCCCTGAAGGAATGTCCATGAACTGTATGATGCATATATCTTAAGATACAAAAAGAAACAACTATATTATGTTGCTGGTCTCATTTAGATTGTCCGTTGTTCAAAGTAGAAATTGAGTGTTCGGATGGAATCTAGTACATTTCAGATACAGTTTATTTGTAGTCCAAAATCCCATAACTGTAAAATGATTTAAATAGAGGTGTTGCATTTAGATCTGAAACTTAACCTATTTTAGAACTGTTATAGTTAAATAAGTTGTATTGAAAATACACAACCCTACTTAAAAGTTGAGCACTGTATCATCAGTGAATTTTAAAAACTCTATTTTAATCTGAACTTCACTAGCTAAATCTTCAGCAAGCAGTAAACTAAATACAGCTTCCAGAGGTCTGCGTAATCTTGTGATGTTACTTCTGCAGAGATAAGAGTAACAAACTAGACAACTATGGCAAGCTTAAATATGTGGTTCATATACTGACTTCCTTGTGTAAAGATGCCTTTATTAGTTTTCACTGTCTTAAAGCTGAAAACTTTTCATTCCGAATGACTGTATGTAAAATGCATAGACAGATCTTACTAGAAATTAACGTGTTTTCTTTTACATAGATTTGTACTACATCTGAGAAATCTGTTATTGATAAGATAATTGATTCAGGTCCTCAGCTTGCTGGATCACTAGACTACAATATAGTTCACAGTAAGTGTCTAACAAATGTGGCATTTCTGTCTACTGTAGAATTTATTGAGGAAAAATTTGAGGACCAGTTTTTCAGACTAGGAATAAAAGGAACATAGGAGGCTGAAGCATTTAGTACAGATAAGAGATGAAGGAAAATATTATGGAATAAAACAAAACTGGAGGAAATCACCTATAAATAATGTTTTCTAAATAGTATAACACTGATTCTTAGCGGTATATATTTATTTTGGCAGCTGTTGCTCTATTTCTATTTGAAATGATACAATGACTTTATCACACAGACATCTTAAAAAAAAAAAAAGTCATACTTATGCAATTTCTAGACATCAAGGTCGTGTTGACCTAAATGAGAGAGACATTGTTTCACTTTACTATTGTTCATCAAATGTATACTATTTGGGGAGGGGAGAGCTTTTAAAATAGTAGTTGATTCTGTTCTGAAGAGCACTATTAGATAGCAAACATGGGATTCTTAAGAATATTATGGTCTGGTGAGGACAATCTCTTGTTGATTTCCCAAAGATCTACCACTCTATTGCTGAGAACCTGTGTGTGTATGGGTATGTCTACACTACGGGATTACTCCGATTCTACAGAATTCGATTTTTGGCAATAGATTGTATAAAGTCGAGTGCATGCAGCCACACTAAGCACATTAATTCGGCGGTGCACGTCCATGTACCGAGGCTAGCGTTGACTTCCGGAGTGTTGCACTGTGGGTAGCTATCCCATAGCTATTCCATAGTTCCCGCAGTCTCCCCCGCCCATTGGAATTCTGGGTTGAGATCCCAATGCCTGATGGGGCAAAAAACATTGTCGCTGGTGGTTCTGGGTACATCCTCCCCCTCTCTCTGGGAAAGCAACGGCGGACAACCGTTTCACGCCTTTTTTCCTGGGTGAACCGTGCAGATGCCATACCACGGCAAGCATGGAGCCCGCTCAGCTCAAGACAGCAGTCATGAACATCGTAAACACCTCGCACATTATTGCACAGTCTATGCTGAACCAGAACCTGAAAAACCAGGCGAGGAGGAGGCGTCGACGGCAGCGCAGCGACAAGAGTGATGAGGACATGTACATGGACACAGAATTCTCTCAAACCGCGGGCCCCGGTGCTTTGGAGATCATGGTGTTAATGGGGCAGGTTATAGCTGTGGAACGCCGATTCTGGGCCCGGGAAACAAGCACAGACTGGTGGGACCGCATAGCGTTGCAGGTCTGGGACGATTCCCAGTAGCTGCGTAACTTTTGCATGCGTAAGGGCACTTTCATGGAACTTTGTGACGTGCTTTCCCCTGCCCTGAAGCGCCAGAATACCAAGATGAGAGCAGCCCTCACAGTTGAGAAGTGAGTGGCGATAGCCCTGTGGAAGCTTGCAACGCCAGACAGCTACTGGTCAGTCGGGAATCAATTTGGAGTGGGCAAATCTACTGTGGGGGCTGCTGTGATGCAAGTAGCCAAAGCAATCGCTGAGCTGCTGCTACCAAAGGTAGTGACTCTGGGAAATGTGCAGGTCACAGTAGATGGCTTTGCTGCAATGGGATCCCCTAACTGTGGTGGGGCGATAGATGGAACCCATATCCCTATCTTGGCACCGGAGCACCAGGGCAGCCAGTACATAAACCGCAAAGGGTACTTTTCAATGGTGCTGCAAGCACTGATGGATCACAAGGGACATTTCACCAACATCAACGTGGGATGGCCGGGAAGGGTTCATGACCTCGTGTCTTCAGGAACACTAATCTGTTTAAATGGCTGCAGCAAGGGATTTACTTCCCACACCAGAAAATAACGGTTGGGGATGTTGAAATGCCTATAGTTATCCTTGGGGACCCAGCCTACCCCTTAATGCCATGGCTCATGAAGCCATACACAGGCAGCCTGGACAGTAGTCAGGAGCTGTTTAACTACAGTCTGAGCAAGTGCAGAATGGTGGTAGAATGTGCATTTGGACGTTTAAAGGGTCGCGGGCGCACTTTACTGACTCGCGCAGACCTCAGCCAAACCAATATTCCCATTGTTATTGCTGCTTGCTGTGCGCTCCACAATCTCTGTGAGAGTAAGGGGGAGACCTTTATGGCGGGGTGGGAGGTTGAGGCAAATCGCCTGGCCGCTGATTATGCGTAGCCAGACACCAGGGTGATTAGAAGAGCACACCAGGAAGCGCTGCGCATCAGAGAAGCTTTGAAAACCAGTTTCATGACTGGCCAGGCTACGGTGTGAAAGTTCTGTTCTTCTCCTTGATGAAAACCCGCCCCCTTGATTGACTCATTCCCTGTAAGCAACCCACCTTTCCCCCTTCGATCACAGCTTGCTTTCAAAGGAAATAAAGTCACTATCGTTTAAAAATCATGTATTCTTTATTAATTGATTATTAAACATAGGGAGAGAACTGACAAGGTAGCCTGGGTGGGGTTTGGGAGGAGGGAAGGAAAAGGCCACTTCAAAAGTTCAAAATAATGACAGCCTTTTGCTTGGGCTGTCCACTGGGGTGGAGTGGGAGGGTGCACGGAGCCTCCCCCCCACCCTGCGTTCTTGGGTGTCTGGGTGAGGAGGCTATGGAACTTGGGGAGGAGGGAGGGCGGTTATACAGGGGCTGCAGCGGCATTCTGTGATCCTGCTGCAGTTCTTGAAGCTCCACCAGACACCGAAGCATGTCCGTTTGATCACACAGCAGCCCCAGCGTTGCACCCTGCCTCCTCTGATCCTCCTGCCACCACCTCTCATCTCAAGCGTCCCTCCTGTCCTCACGTTGGTCCCTCCTGTCCTCATGTTCATTGGCAGCTTTCCTGTACTTTGATACCGTGCCCTTCCACTCATTCAGATGAGCTCTTTCATCGCGGGTCGACTGTATGATCTCTGAGAACATGTCGTCTCGCATGCGTTTTTTTTCGCCGCCTTATCTGAGAGAGCCTTCGGGACGGAGGAGGGAGGCTTGAAAAATTTGCAGCTGCGGGAGGGAGGGGAAAAAGGGAGAGAAGTATTTAAAAAGATACATTTTACAGAACAATGCTTATACTCTTTCACGGTGAACAACACTACTCGCGTTACATAGCACATGTGATTTCGGTACAAGGTCGCATTTTGCATCTTAATATTGAGTGCCTGTGGCTTTGGCGTTAGAGATCACAGACGCAGGGCCGGGCAACAAAATTCGGCTTGCATGCGGCCATGGTAAGCCATTGTCTTTCGGCTTCTGCAACCTTCATAAAAGCAGCGCCTTCCTTTTCCATACTAAGCAAAGCCCGTTGAGTGCTGCGGTTTTCGTTGTTTCGTGCAGTAGCAGAAACCAAACTAAACCCCCCCCCCCCATCCAATTCTCTGGGATGATCGCTTTACCCCCTCCCCCACCACCGCGTGGCTGGTATCAGGGAAGGTCCCTGCTAGCCAAACGTGAAAAGCTCAGTGCCAATGCCTCCCCCTCCCCCACCGCTTGGCTAACTCCAGGGAAGGATTTCTTTTCAGCCACAGGCAAACAGCCCAGTAGGAACGGCCACCTCTGTCCCCTTAATTAAATTCCCGTATTTCAACCAGGTTACCATGAACGATATCATTCTCCTGAGGATAACACAGCGAGATAAAGAACGGATGTTGCTTGAATGCCAGCAAGCACCGGGACCATACGCTGCCAGGCTTTGTCATGCAATGATACCAGATTACTTGCTACTAGCAGGGCATGGTAAAGTGTCCTACCATGGAGGACGGAATAAGACTGTACTGCCCAGAAACCTTCTGCAAAGGCTTTTGGAGTACCTCCAGGAGACCTTCATGGAGATGTCCCTGGAGGATTTCCGCTCCATCCCCAGACACATTAACAGACTTTTCCAGTAGCTGTACTCAGGGCCGGCTCTAGGCACCAGCGCTTCAAGCATATGCTTGGGGCGGCACTTTCCAAGGGGTGGCACTCTGACTCCTTTTTTTCTTGGGGTGCAAAAAGCCGGGAGCTGGCCCTGACCGGAGGTGAGCTGCGGCGGTGGGGGGGCGTGGGGAGGGCCGCAGGAAGTAACCCTGGGGGGGCAGAGGAACTGCCCCCCACTGCCGCAGCGCACCTCCGCCTGCTCCCCTGAGCGCGCTGCCGCCGCTCCGCTTCTCCCCCCCCCCTCCCAGGCTTGCTGCACGAATCAGCTGTTTTGTGGCAAGCCTGAGAGGGAAGGGGGGAGAAGCGGAGCGGCGGCTGCGCGCTCAGGGGAGCAGGCGGAGCGGAGGTGAGCTGCGGCGGTGGGGGGCGCGGGGAGGGCCACAGGAAGTAACCCGGGGGGGGCAGAGGAACCGCTACCCCCCCCCCAGCTCACCTCTGCCTCCTCCCCCGAGTGCGCCGCCGCTCTGCTTCTCCGGGAGGGAGAAGTAGGAGGGGAAATGCGGTACGCCTGGGAGAGGAGGTGGGGCCGGGGATTTGGGGAAGGGGTTGGAATGGGGCGGAGTTGGGGCGGGGCCGGGGGGGGTGCAGGAAATTTTTTTTGCTTGGGGCGGCAAAAAACTTGGAGTTGGCCCTGGCTGTAGTGGCTGAGAATGCATCCCAAGTCCCCAGGGCAAATTAATCATTAAAAAACGCTTGCCTTTAAACCATGTTTTATATTTACAAAGGTACACTCACCAGAGGTCCCTTCCATGGCTTCATTGTCTGGGATACCGCCTTGGGAGGGTACTTCAGTCAGGCTGAGAAAAAGATCCTGGCTGTTGGGGAGAACGGAGTGCTGTGCGCTCTCCGCAAGCTCGTCCTCCTCCTCCTCATCTTCCCCATCCGCAGAATCCTCAGGCATGGCTGAGATTACCCCCTGCTCGGAATCCACAGTCAGGGGTGGGGTAGTGGTGGCGGCTCCCCATAGAATTGCATGCAGCTCAGCGTAGAAGCGGCATGTCTGTGGCTCTGCCCCGAACCTTCCGTTTCCTTCTTTGGTTTTCTGGTACGCTTGTCTGAGCTCCTTAACTTTCACGCGGCACTGATATGAGTCCCTATTGTGGTCTCTCTCCATCATGCCCTTGGAGATTTTTTCAAATGTTTTGGCATTTCGTCTTTTGGAACGTAGTTCTGCTAGCACAGAATCCTCTCCCCATACAGCGATCAGATCCAGTACCTCCTGTACAGTCCATGCTGGTGCTCTTTTTCGATTCTTGGACTGCATGGTTACCTGTGCTGATGAGCTCTGCGTGGTCACCTTTGCTCTCCACGCTGGGCAAACAGGAAATGAAATTCAAAAGTTCGCGGGGCTTTTCCTGTCTACCTGGCCAGTGCATCCGAGTTCAGATTGCTGTCCTGCGGTCACAATGGTGCACTGTGGGATAGCTCCCGGAGGCCAATACCGTCGAATTGCGCCTACAGTAACCCTAATTGGAACCGGCAATGTCGATTTCGGCGCTACTCCCCTTGTTGGGGAGGAGTACAGAAATCGATTTTAAGAGCCCTTTATGTCGAAGTAAATGGCTTCGTTGTGTGGATGGGTGCAGGGTTAATTCGATTTAACGCTGCTAAATTCGACCTAAACTCGTAGTGTAGACCAGGCCTATGTCTCCATTGTTCTTGTAGAAACAATAATATTTTGAGTCAAGTCATCATGCCAGCAGAGGGAGCCCAAGCTGACTAACAAACCCTCTTCCCTGAGCTGTCTGTACCTAAATCATTGGTGGCATTGATGCTGCTGATGGCAAACGATAGCAAATGAAGCAGATCTATACTGTATATTCCCCATAAGAAGAGCAGGAAGAAATTAAGTGTTTGCTAAATGGAACAGGACAAAACCTGTAGAAAGAGTGAGGGAGATTAATTTCAAGCTTCTGGGTGGATGTAAGAACAGTAGAGGGTTTAAGAAAAACAAAAACTATGAAAATGCTTGACCGTGACCCTTCAAGGTATTTAGGGCTAAATGCTGCCTGTACCTGATGAAAGAAAAGGGTGCAAACTCAATGTACAAATAGCAGTGTGCCCAATGTGGGTGTGCAGAGGGATCCTGCCCTGTCTCATGGGTGGAAAAAGCAGATGTGGACCACCAATGGGATGGGCTTTTATGAGGAAAAGGGTTTGGTTGGCCTAAAGTCTGTTATGTATATGCTGCCATACACAGCAAGTGAGAGCCTGCACCAGCAATGAACATGGCACCCGGAGAAAGCAGTAAAAAGCACGTCACTTTGGGTTATGTCAGCTTGCCATGTGTCCTCCTGGCCTATGACAACAGGCTGTCTTGCACTACATGTGCTTAACAGTCTGTCTGGGTATGTGTTGCTACCTACTCTGTGCAGGCTTGTCAGTGTGTAGTCCATTATATATTGTGTGTATCTCTATTTTTAGAAGGCAGTGCAATTCCTGACATAAGCCAGGAGTTCAGTCTGAACTCAATTAGTTAAGTCTGTATTACTAAAATATGATACACAGTTGCAACTCAAATCCCTACTGTGCTAAAACTGTATCTTATCAAGCTTGCTTGCCTGGTTGGCTGTTGACTTGGCAATTTATTTGTGAAAATTTCTACTGTTTCTCATAATATTTTCAGTGCCAAATAGTTAAGAGTAACTCTTGGAGGTGTTAACTTGTGAGGTAGTTAGCCTCAAATATCCTATCCTGGGCTAAATAAAACACTTTGACACAAGAATAAGGAGTTAAATAAAAACACACACATTTAAAAATTGAGTGCTGATAGTGTCCTTTCTGCTATACTGAACAGGGAGTAGATATGCTCTCTGGCCTCAGGTCAGAGATAAACAAAAGGCAATAAATCGGACACCTAATACACTGGGTGATCAAGGTTTGTGCTTTATTCGCTCATGATACAATTCTTAGAGTTAACGGTCAGGGCTCTCAAGTTCTTGCCTTTTGAAATCCCTCTCCATAGTTATGTTTATGCTGCACAGTTAACCTGGGTGATTGGCACCAAGGTTGAGCACTCAGGTTAGCTTAGTCTTGGTGTGAGTATCCCCACTACAAAGGCATACCTTCATTACTGTGTCCTCACTATTTATTCACGCCCGTGTATATTGGGGGCACATGCCATGGCTCTCTGTGCTGAGACACTAGGATTGGTTCCCAGTCATTTGTGAGAGAACTTGTCTGTCCTTCAGGTGGAGGTGGATTGTGGGAAGGCATTGGAGTACTATCAGCACTTGAGTGAGTTAAGTCTGCATCTTCACTGTGGGATCCTGCCCAATTAAAAGTAGAGCCCAGCCTCTAACCCACACCCCCCAGCCAGGAAAACCCTGGGTCAGAGGTCTTTCTGTGTGGATGGTAGAGGGTAAATGCTAAAACTCAAATAAGAGTCCAGATTAACTGTCGTGTAGATATACCCCATGTTTCTGCAATAAACCTAGTTACCTCAATTGCTGATCACCCTTCTTTCCGTGCCCTGTTACCTTCCTAATCCCTGTCTCTGAAGTAAATATATGGCTGTGGGTCAAATTGTACCTTGTCTTTGTGCTGTGAATAATTTAGGATTCTGCTTCAGTGTAATGTCTAGTTAATGTTCTGTTTAGTCTTCTGGTCTAATCATAGCTGTATAATTGTATATTATTCAGGAGTGTGGGGTGGGAGAGGTTAAAACTTCCTGAATCGATTGAAAAAAAAAATAGCGTCTGCTAGTATCATTAGTATTTGGGTAAACAACTTTCTAAAATGACATACCTTTTTTATTTTTAAAGGTTTATATAACAAAGGATTTATTTACCTTGATGTACCAATATCTGATGACAGTTGTATAGCAGGTGAGTGTATGAGCAGTAGTAGCTATGTTTTCGTGGGAAAGATTCATTCCAGATAACTTAAGTTTCCTTTTTTTGGGTGCTGCTTGTCTTTTTCTATTAAAGTGATCTATTTAAACATAACACAAAGATGGTTGAAAACTCTTCTTGTTTATTGAATGGCTTTTCAACTTGCTGCTAAAATTTTGTCCTTTATCCTTATTAGTATTTATTGATTTTCAACTTATATTTCTATCTGAAGTAATAAAGCTGCTTTTAACATATGTGGAGCTGAAGACATTTAAGTATAATTTAAACAATTGTCCTTGTTTCGGTGTATCTGCAGTTAACATGGATACTATAAATGTACAAACTTAACCATATTAAAAAAAAGTCTTTTCTTTCTGATTCAGTTAATATTCATAGTACTGGTTGCTTATTCACTTCCGTCATTCATGCCTCTGTCACCTCAACATTTGATTACTGTAATGTGCTGTACTTTAGGACCATGTGGAAACTTGAGCTTCTGCAGAATGTGGCTGTCCACTGGATAAAGGGTGCAACATGCAGGGAGCAATTACTATTATTTTGAGTGCTGCACTAGCTCCCAAGATATTTGGGATGGAATTTCAAGGGCAAGATTTAATTGTGTTTGGTTTAAGTGGTTTGGGACCTGGTTACAGTGGGACCACCTCGCGCTGCTACAGTTTAGACCTGGCAAGACACTTAAGCTGTAGCTGGGTCCTCAACTCTTTCCAGACATATTAACCATTCAGAAATGCTACAAAGCTAGTCTCTTTCATAGACCTTTTAAGTAGGCTGGGAGTTTTTACTGGTGGATGGGCTGGTGGCTGACTGCAGGATGATTTAGGTGGGGTCTTATGATACAGCTGGGCAGAATGGCTTTAGCTGTTGTGGGAGAATATATCATTAGAAAATAGCTGAATGCAATTATTTCATAGAATGATTTTAGATTTTTTACTGTGTTTAAGTTTTGGGAGTTGTGTAAAGTTGGAAAGGCACCAGAGAAATTGAATGAATAAATCTGAACTTGGAGGGAAAATATTGTAAATTACCCCATAGTCTGAACTAGAATAAAGTTTAGTTTGGTTATTTAAAAAAAATCTTTCAGCTTTTAAGCAGTCAAAATATTCTGAAAACTTAAAGCTTTTAAACCATAGTATTAAAAATAATTCTTTCCAGTGCCTCCACTTGAAGGTTTTGTAATGAACAGACTGCAAGGTGATTACTTTGAAACTCTTCTCTACAAGATATTTGTTTCAATAGATGAACACACTAATGTGGCAGAGGTAAGTAACGCTTAGTTTGTTTCTGCATCAGGGAGGTGAGGGAAACTGGAAGGGCCAAGAAACAGGCTGGTCAAATACTTGAAAGGCAGATAGGGAGAAATGCATTTCCTATTGTCTGTCCATCTCCACAGCCATATGACGGTATGTAGCTTTCCAGAGATGAGTCTAGGGATAAGAGATTTGAAACAATATTCATTGCTTTATGGAATGTACTAGTTGCTTTTGTTTAAAATATTAAAAAGCACACAACGTTTTTTTTCATAAATAGTACTACCTTTCCCCTGGCAAAAAGAGCAGTGCATAGGAACAACATGGGGTGGGAGTTTTAGTGAACAATCCTTGCAAATAGTTAATATTCATAATACTGGTTGCTTATTTACTTTGTTGTCTCTACTTAGAGGTGCATTTTCACTTTGGAAAAGTGATTGCAAAAAGGCATTGTGGGGTTCCTGAGGGCCAAGCTGAGTTCTTCAATCTTTTATAATAAAGATTCTGCAGGCCGAATTATGTCCTTAGTTCAGGGCATATACAACTCCATTGCCTTAAGTGGGTTTGCCCACGGGTACCTTATAGATTAAACCTGGGATTGGAACTTAGTTGATGATGCACAAGAAAAAATGGAACCCAGCTTCCCCCTCTCATAGTTGGATTGATTCTGTTGTGTTAACAGGAGTAAAAAGTACTACATTTTTATCTTTGTCACCAAAGTGAATGGATGGGACAGTGAAAGCCCGGGGAGTAGATTTTACATGGTCCCTTCTCAAAACAGAATCAGGTTGTAAGACTAGGCCTGATTCTCTAATGCCCTGTGTACTCATTTATAGTGTATAGTGGGTGTAAAATGCTTAAATAAATTAATTGAAATGATAACATTTTACATCCACTTTGCATGTAGTCTACCCTGGTGTAAATGACTGCACAAGGAGTAACACAGTGGAGTATTTGATCCTGAATCTCTTGCTACTCAAGGAAGGGACTATTGAACTAAGGTTTCAGCATTTCTTTTCCTTTCTCTTAACCACTTGTGAAATGACAATAGATTGTACAACTTGTACTAGAAAAGGTGTTCTTGGCTAGTAGCAAATGAGTCCTGGAATCACTTATCAATTATTCTTATTTTGTCTCTTATCTGTTTCCTATTTTTCAGCTTGCAAATGTTCTAGAGATAGACTTATCACTGGTGAAGGTATGTCTAAATAGTACATCCAAAGCATCTAATTGTCCAAAGTGAAAATCCTCCAATGTTTTACTACATGGCTTCTTTAATAGATACTAAAACTATGTTGTGAAACTTAGCAGTTTTTTATTGATCTCTTGTGTGTCTTTTTGTCTCTTCAGAATGCTGTGTCCATGTATTGTCGATTGGGTTTTGCCCACAAAAAAGGCCAAGTAATGAATCTGGAAAATCTTCATTCATCATGGAGGAACATTCCTTCTATAAATCGACTGAAGTAGGTATCTTGCCATGTTTCTTGAGCTTCTTGGAAAGTATAGTTTTGACTACAGAGCTGGGAGGTGCTACATTCTAAATCAGGGGTCTCAAACACGCGGCCCGCGAGCCCCTCGCAGCCCCCCCGCCCTCCCCCAGTGTTTACCTAGAGCGGCTCCGGCCGGACGTGCACCAGGTGCAGGGCAGGCTCCCTGCCTGCCCTGCCCCGCGCTGCTCCGGGAAGAGGCTGGAACGTGAGGAAGGGGCGGCAGAGGGGCTGTGTGTTGCTGTTGCTTCAGGCAGCGCCCCCAGCAGCTCCAATTGGCTGGGAACGGGGAACTGCGGCCAATGGGAGCTGCTGGGGGCGGTGCCTGAAGCAACAGCAACACACAGCCCCTAGCAGCACGGGGGCAGGGCAGACAGGCAGGCAGGGAGCCTGCCCTGCCCTGCCCCCGGTACGCGCCGGGCCAGATCCTGCCCCCCGAACCCCTCCTGCAGCCGAACCCCCTGCCCTGAGACCCCTGCCGCACCCTGCACCCCAACCTCCTGCCCTGAACCCCCTGCCTCACCCTGCACCCCTCCTGCATCCCAACCCACTGCCCTGAGCCCCCTGCCGCACCCTGCACCCTGACTCCTTGCTGTACCCCTCACCCCTGCCTTGGGGGCAGGGAGGGGGCAGAGTTGGGTGGGGATTTTGGGAAAGGGGTTGGAATGGGGGCAGGGAAGGGATGGGAAGAGGTGGGGCTGGGGTGGGGCCTCATGGAAGGGGTGGAGTGGGGGCGGGGCCGAGGGCGGCGGTGGGGAGGTGTCAGTAATGTGGCCCTCGGGCCAATGTACTGGTCCTCATGTGGCCCTCATGGTCATTTGAGTTTGAGACCCCTGTTCTAAATTCTACCCTTGATTCTGGCACTGTGATTCCCTTTGTGGTCCTGGCAATAATTTAATTATTTTCCTTCATTTTATATATAGAAAATGAGAATAACATATATGTAGCTCTTGGGTATATGTGAGGGTTATTGGTGGTAAAATTCGCTGATAGGTGCTGCAAATAATACTTTAAGTGTTGGCATTTTGGTTTAGAATACTTAGTCTGTGTTTCAAAACCAAGAAGTATGTACTTGCTTTAATGTTTTATGGCTGTGAATTTGTAATTATTCTGTATTTTGATTTGTGTCTTTAGAACTTTAAGATTATTTCCTGATTTTAAAAACTAAAAGTCGAGTCGTTTCCATGGTAGTACCATGACAGCCTATCTCAGTGCGGCTGGTGGTGTGTGTACTTGTAATCGGCGGTGCATTTCTGTGGTTGGCAAGACAGCTTGCAGTACTTGGGCATTCTTATTATCAAGAAATAAAACCTCTTTGAACTTTTTTGTAGTCATCAGTTGAAGAATTCAGACCTCTGGTTGAGGGATAGTTTGAGGGCAGGAGCTGGATCAACAGATAGGCATTCTACATTGGTGTGAAATGTTTGATCTCGCTTTGATAGGACTTGCAGTGGTTTTCATAATCTGCCACTGAGCATGCATGAGGTACCATGAGATTAGCAGGCAGAGCTGCTGCCATGGTGCTACAGTGATAATAGATACAGACTTTGTTAATAGGAGTACTTTGGATCCGCAAAAGATGCTGCTTTCATGGGACAGTGGGGAAAACAGGACTCCTGTACAGGAAGCTGGTTCATCAGCTACAGATACTGACACCAACAGTCAAGATGATCCAGGTTAGCACCTATATTGAATTGATACATTACCATCAATTAGTTAATGTTTGTAAAATGCCTTGAGGTTATAAATGCTAATTATTCATAGACCCAACCAGAATATGTAGAGAGAGGCAGATTGTGGAAATACTTCAAACATCAAATACATTGAGTTATTTTCCCACTTTTTATTCTTGTTGCATCTCCGCACCTCCCCCACCTCAAAAAAGTGCTGTTTTAACCAGTCTGTGTTATGAATGTTAGTAGAATTCTTCCTGAATGAAAATAAAATTACTGCAAAATTAAATTTTAAATTTGATGAGAGTTATATAGTGTTGCAATAATAGCAAGGAAATATGTATAAGACTCGGTATGGCATAGTGTGGGCTTTATGCTTTATTTGTTTAGTTCATACGTAGATCTAGTTCTATGATTTTAAGGCTTGCTTAAAGAAAATGTCTTTATTCTTAAATAAAACAAATAAGATTACAAATTCTTTCTTTGTTTTATTAGCTGACACAGCCAGCGTGAGCAGCTTGAGTCTGTCTAGTGGACACACAAAGCGTATTGCCTTCCTGTTTGATTCAACTCTCACTGCCTTTCTAATGATGGGGAATCTTTCACCAGTATGTCAGATTGTTCAGTTTGTCTATGTGAAGATCAAATATGTAGAAAACATTTTAAGTCTTGGTTTTTAGTATAATGCAGCTCTGATGATTTTAGAACTTTTTGTTTCAATTGTTTAGCAACTTTAATGATCATTTGTTTAAGCAAATTTTGTCTTTATTTTACAAAAACATATATGTTAAATCTCCCACTCACAGAGATAAGAATCTGTGAAATTTATATTGTATATAAAAATCTTATATACAATATATTTGGATTATATTGTTGCAGAACTTGAAAAGTCATGCGGTAACTATGTTTGAAGTTGGAAAATTATCAGATGAGTCTCTGGACAGTTTTCTTGTGGAACTTGAAAAGGTAACTCTCTTGTGTACAGTGTAAAGTTTTTCAGAGCTTAAGATGTTTCTGTGTGTGTGTGTGTGTGTGTGTGTGTGTGTGTGTGTGTGTGTGTGT